ACCTGAACACTCTATGTTAAAAGCCCAAGGCTCAGGTGCTCCCAGGGCTTCTCATCTCATGGCCTCTGCTGAGGGAGGATGAATACTATGTCCTCCCAGAGCTTTGGGAGCCTGTAGCAAGCAGCCTCCCTAGCACAAAATCTTTGAAAACTTCAAACTGTGTCTAAAACATTCCTGCACATTTTGCATCCTATTTCCCATATGTCAGCATGTTTTAGTTAAAAAAAAACCTCAATTTCCTAAATATGCAAGAGAAATGGATATTGCAGGACATTGTGACTTTTAAAAACATGTTACTTAGACTGGGCATGGTGGCTCATGCCTGTAATCTCAGCACTTCGGGAGGCTAAGGTGGGTGGATCACCTGAGGTCAGGAGTTAGAGACCAGCCTGACCAACAGGGAGAAACCCTGGTCTCTAGTAAAAATACAAAATTGCCCAGGCATGGTGGCACATCACTGTAAATCCAGCTACTCAGGAGGCTGAGGCAGGAGAATCACTTAAACCTGGGAGGTGGAGGTTGCAGTGAGCTGAGATCATGCCATTGCACTTCAGCCTGGGCAGCAAAAGCAAAACTCCATCTCAAAAAACAAACAAATAAAAAACTGAGTCTCAGAATGATGAAGCACTTTGTCCAATGTGACTCAGCTGGTAAGTGTTGAGACCTTGCATCCAATCAAAGCCCATCTCATTCTAAAGGCCATGCTGTGCGTTCTCTGGCCCATGGAGAATAATTTTAACACAATCAATGACATTTCTACACAATGTTCTTGTCTCAAGTCCAAGAGTGCCTCCTTCCTATACCTTCTATAACGCTTGCTTTCCGGTCACTAAAGATGCCATTCTGATGTGTAATCATGTGGCCAATGGAGATATGACCCATGCCATCATGTGTGTACACCCATAAGCTGTACACCTCCTTTGTCTGATGAAATTCAAGTACCCTTTTTGATTACTTAGCAAAACTGAGCTTTAAAAGGGTTAAGGTTTTGCCAGGTGTGGTAGCTCATGCCTGTAATCCGAGCTCTTTGGGAGGCCAAGGCAGGTGGATCACGAGGTCAAGGGATTGAGACCATCCTAGCCAACATGGTGAGACCCCATCTCTACTAAAAATACAAAAATTAGCTGGGTGTGGTGGAGCATGCCTGTAGTTGTAACTACTCGGGAGGCTGAGGAAGGAGAATTGCTTCATGGATGCAGAGGTTGCAGTGAGCTGAGGTTATCCCACTGCACTCCAGCCTGGTGACAGAGCAAGACTCTGTGCATATATGTGTATGTATGTATGTATATGTGTGTGTATGTGTGTGTGTGTGTGTGTGTGTGTATATATATATATATGGTTAAGGTTTTTATATCCATGGAACTTTCTGTATTGCTTTTGAAGTCTCTAGTTAAATGAATATATTCTTCTAATAGCAACCTGTGTCATGGATGAACCTGGAACCATCATTCTCAGCAAACTGACACAAGAATAGAAAATCTAACACTGCATGTTCTCTCTCATACACCCTGCCCTTTCTTTCTCCCTCAGATTTCCTCTCTCTGCTCAGAAGCACTGGTGGCCTGTGCTGCTCTCATCAACCCACGGGTTCCTCCCCTGCTGTCCATGGGCCCCACCTGGCCGACACCTGCTCCAGTACCCTCTCCTGAGTCCCCATCACTCTTCTGCACCCCACTTTCCCATCCTCTGGGCCCCTTGCCCTCTGCAGGCCCCATGCCCTCAGTAGGCCCTGTGCCCTCGGCACCCCTGGACCTCCCACCACAGCCAACCACCTAGGCTTTTCTGTCCCAGGCCTAGTGTCTGTCCCTCCCCAACTTCCTCCTGGCCCTGAGAACCCCCAGGCAATCTCAAATGAAGACCTATCCTTGCCCCTTGTGGGAGTTCCCCTCCCATTATACCCCCAGATGAAACTTTGGGTTTGGGGGAAGAATGCCCAGACCAGACTTTGTCCACTATGATAAGGAGGAACCATCTGAGGTAGAGACCTTGGAAAGTGACTCTGCTGACAGCATGGTGATTGTGCCCAAGGGGCTTCATCCTCTCCACCTCCACCACCCTCAGGTGTCACATCACCCCCTGTAGCCCCTTCTGGGCCACAAACAAGAGGGAGAGGAAGGTGGCCCTCCACCCACAACCCTGCCTCCAGCTCTGCCTCCCCCTGAGGCTCCCCCAGAGATGCAGCCTGAGCCAGAATCAGAACCCGGGTTACTGTCAGAAGTGGAGGATGCAGGTCTCACCCTGGCCCCTGAAGTGCTCCCCTCCTGGGGGGAGGTGGAGAGGGATGGGGGCAGCCCCACAGCAGGCCCACCTCCCCAGGATCTGGTTAAAAAGGAGCCCTCTGCTCCCCCAACTCTGCTGGAAGAAGTGACTGAGGATGGAGATGACAAGGTGCAGCCCTTAAAAGAGACATCTGCAGAAGAAAAGAAGAAAAGATAAAGACAGAGACAGAGGCCGAAGATCTCCAGGAAAAGGTAAGAGGGCCAGGCAGGGAAGACTCCTTGGGTGAGAAGCTGGGGCTGGTGTGAGAAGCAGGGGAAGGGACTGCAGCCACTTATCTAAGGAGAGAGGTTTGCCCCAACCCGAACCATTCGTGTGTGTGTGTGTGTGTGTGTGTGTGTGTGTGTGAGAGAGAGAGAGAGAGAGAGAGAGAGAGAGAGAGAGAGAGAGAGACTATTCTGAATCTTGTATCTTTGTGCCTAAAAGGAGCAGGATGACACAGCTGCCATGCTGGCTGACTTCTTCGATTTTCCCCTGATGATGAGAAGCCACCACCTGCTGCAAAGCCTGACTCCGGGCCATCTTCTCCTCCCCTCCTTGTTTCCCGTGAAGTTATGTTCTTAGATAGCAACTGCTCCTTCTGCCTTTTGCCACACCTGGGTCCTCACCCAGAAGCTCCAGTGTCTGCTGGGCTTTTCTGGGTATATAGTATCCCCCAAATGTCTCCATAGCTGTTCTTGTCAATGATCCAGAGAGGAACCATTGACATATGGGGGTAATGGACTTTCCTATCACTCAGCACGGTGGCGTCAGAAATGCAGGATCCTTGCTGGATGCCAAATATGTGCAGGATCGTGTGATTGTGTGTGCAGTGAAGAAGGAAGAGTTAGCGGCATGATCCTGCTTTTGTGTTCATATTCGGGGTGGGAAATGTGTGGATAGAGTGTAGGATTCAGTCTCCTAGTGAGTGAACCTGTGTCAGCACACACTTGCCCGCATGCCTTTGTGCCTGCTCGAACATGTCCCCTTGGTCTGAAAGGGCAGGTGGAGTAATTGCTCAGTCTATGCAAGTGTAGGACATTAGGAAAAGGCAAAGAGGGGTTTAGAGAATTCTGGGAAGTGTGGACCTTGCCCCAGGTTGAAAGTGCTTCCATAGTGGGTGTGTTGAACATGAGCTCTGCTTTGGGGCTGGTCCTCCTCATGACAGCTCTCCCCCAACAGCTCCCTGGCACAAGTGTGGTAAGCTCACCCTAGGCCTTTCTGCTACTCCTGAGGTCTGGATATTTCCTGCCCGGTGTCTGCCTTCCTTAAGCACCGATCCCATTCTAGGCCTTGCGGGATGGACAAGTGAGCATGAACTGAGAGATGTGTCTGTGAGAGAATGCCAAGATTTACGGGCTTGAACCAGGGGCCCATGATTTTTTTACTCAGTCAATTGAGTCTTGAACATAAGTAAAGTGCTTTGGAAATGCAGAAAAGGGAATCATTTCTCCCAACATGTATCTTGAAGAGCCTCTTCAAGGAGGTGGCATTTGAGCTAACTTTTGGAAACTTCAGTAGGATTTTTTAAAGTTACCCCTCAACTTGTTACTTCAAAAAATTTCAAACCAAAAGAAAAGTGAGAACAGCACAATCGATGACTTTTGCCTGGATTGGCCGATGAACATCTAGTCATGTTAACTTTTGTCCCTATAAACTGTGTATCTACCTTGTAGACATGTATCTGCATTATAACCACATGTCTATGTCATCGATACATTTGTATTTATACACATTTCTTTTTCCATGTGAAAAAAGAACCATGTGAAGGTAAGTTGCAGATTTCATGGCCCTTCCCATCCCAAATTCTTTGACATAAATTATCTTCTAGGATTAAGGCTGTTTTCCTGCACAATCATGATACGACTGTCAAACCTAAGAAAAATAACAGTAATCCAATATATCATGACATTCAAATTTTCTGTTAATCACTGAAATGTCTTATAGCTTTTTTAATGCCCAGACTGACTTTTTATTGAGCTTATGCAGCTAACAGACTTGAGAACCATGCCAGTTGACAAGTTTTGCTGAATATTACAGCTTGTGCCCACTAAACACATTTCTCTCTGAGGTTAAAAAAAAAAGTAAACAAGTAAACAAATACTGAGAGAAAATGAAGAGACACATCTTGAGTCTTCCAGGCCAGGAAGGCCAAATAAAAAATGGCATGGCTTGTCCCCGGGCTTTCACCATGCCTAGGGTGCTGCTGCTGTCACCACTGGCTCTGCTCCCTGCTGGTGGCTAGTTAGAGGCAGGGGAGAAGGATCAGCTTGGACATGCTGCAAATACAGCATTTTCTGGTGTTGACACCCTCCTGGGGCTGTGGTGGCAGACCACTGTGTCAGGAGCCCATTCCCTGGGAGTAGCAGAGGGGGCCCAGGTCCTCAAGACAGCCTGAGATGGCAGCCCATACACCTCAGCAGGGGAACCTTGTCCCTTTCCTTCAGTGAGGTTCAACATTGAGATTGTCTATCCCAGTTGGTGATAAAACCTGAGATGTGTTCCTTGTAGGTTACCCCTCCTTTCCCCAACTTGGGGGAGTAGTGGCAGGGAATAGGGAAGGATCACTGAGGGGGCAGGGGACACCCCAGGTATCAGTGACCTGGCCCTCTCACAGGTTCTTCACCAGTTGTGCAAGCCAATATTTCATGGTGGTGTCATCTTTTAGCAACAAAGATTGTGTCCTTCAGCTGGTGAGGGAGGCACTGCCTGAGTGTTTCACGTGCGCTGCGGTTATCTGAGAGTCAAATGTAACATCTCACTACATGCTTCAGCAGACGGGCAGAAGGCTCTTTGGATAACTGCAGGACCATCTTACCCAAGATCTTGGCAACAAGGGAGAAACGCTCATACATCTGACATATATAAGCCAAACCAGTATCATCTAAGAACTTCTGGAGGATGAATGTGGCAACTGTTTTAGAAAGTTCACTTCCAGATTCCATAATTTGCAAACATAAAGGGATAATTTCTGTTGTCAGTAAAAAGTTGATTACTCCTTGTTCATCTGTTTTCACCAGGGTCCCAATAACTTCAAGGCTGGTGAGTCGAAGATACTCAAAGAAACATGTGTGCAAAAAGGGGTACAAAAAAAGTGGGATGTGTGCTGTGAGAAATGCTGACCTGGCTTCTGGATGTGATGCTACACGTTGCAGTAATGCCAGAGCATTGCAAACGCTGTTAGTTTTGTGTGCTGTCAAGGTGGGTGGATTGATAGCTGGATAAATATTTATAATTTCCTGTAAAAGTGCTGTAGTAGTACCAAAGGAATGCCACAGCATGGGTGCAAGGTCAGGAACAGATTCTTGCTTCTTACTTAGCTCCAGCAAAGCATTTTCCCTCATTTCAGGACTGGAAAACTCCTTGGTCCACCGGTAGATCTTTTCTCTATCCACTTGTGCCCATGCAGTAGGCACAGGCTTGTACTGGGAACTGTCCTGGCACTGGGGGAACCATGTCAGCAGGGCCAAATGACCCCTGTCCCGCAGTCGTCGCCAGGCTGTGCATGTTGGGAGTAGTCACCACTCTCGGACCAGCATCCCAGCATCAGCACCCCTCATCTTAGAGCTTTTTTCTTCCCTCCTCTGAGTTCAAGAGGAGCTTCTTCAGGTGGAGAAGGCCCTGTAAGGTTTAAGGATCTCTGCAAGGACAAGGGTGCCAAAGTGTAGAACTGCAATAGTGGTTTCTCAAAAAGGGAAAGAACTTGATTTCCAGAAATAGAGGGTAGGAAAAATTGGCATTGATTCTGGGGAAGAGGCTGGAACAGAATGTTTTCCAATTTAAATTGTATTCAGAATAGATAACACATCCACATGGTTCAAAATTTAAAAGGTACAAGAGGTTTGTTGAAAAGTCTCACCCCTCTTTGGCCACCAAGATGTTCTACCTAGAGTGGCCATATGATCAATTTTTACATATTTTTCTGGAGATATTGCATGTACATACAAATATATATATAATTCTTTTTATGCAAATGGTAGTATATTATCACTTAATATAATCAATTTCACTTTCATGGGGACTTAGTTATTCAGCAGATATTTATTAAGTACCAATTATGTACCAGACACCAGCCAGGTGTGGTGGCTTACACCTGCAATCTCAGCAATTTGGGAGGCCAAGGTGGGTGGACCACCTGAGGTCATGAGTTCAAGACAAGCCCGACCAAAATGGTAAAAGTAAAAACCCATCTCTACTTAAAAAAAATTCAAAAATTGGCTTGGTGGCACTCGCCTGGAGTCCCAGTGACTTGGGAGGCTGAGACAGGAGGGAGGCAGTCATTGCAGTGAGCCAAGATCACACTCCTGCACTCCAGCCTGGGTGACAGAGTGGCACTTTGTCTCAAAAAAAAAGTATATATGTACATAGATAGAAGACATCATCTCAGTATAGATATTTAGAAATAACTATAGGTCCACAGGTGGTTGCAGAGATGGTACTGAGAGGTAGTGCTGACAAGGCATCCTGTAGCCAGTGTCCCCCATGGTTACATCCTACATGATTATAGTAAAACCAGGAATGCCATGTTGGTAGTGATAGGCAGTGCTTTACAAGCTGGAGATACAGCAGTGAACAAAATGCAGAACTCTGCCTGCCCTTGTGGGATCTGTATTCCAGATATTTTGGGGGTGGGGAGTAGACAAGTAAAATTTATATTTGCTGGTGAGCACAGCAGTTTAAAGCAAGAAAAAGGATAGGTGTGTGGGGGGTGTATTTTCAATATATTAAATTTTTTATTTTAATTTTTTTTCAAGAGAGGAGTTTTGCCCCGGGCTCGAGTGTAATGGCACAGTCTCTGCTCACTGCAACCTCCGACTCCCAGGTTCAAGCAATTCTCCTGCCTCAGCCTCTTGAGTAGCTGAGTAGCCAGGTGTGCACCACCACGCCCAACTAATTTTTATATTTTTAGTAGCAAGGATGTTTCATCATGTTGGCCAGGCTGGTCTCAAACTCCAGACCTTGTGATCCTCTTTCCTCAGCCCCCCAAAGTGCTGGGATTGTAGGCATGTACCACTGCACCCACCCTGTTTTCAATATTTTATCAGGAAAATTTTCTAACATTCAGAGAAGGTGAAAGAATGACACCTAGAACATCCATGTCTACCATGTTACTACCTTTGTGTGAGGGTGTTTGTAGATTCTAAGTACTGTGGTTAAGGAAGTGTTTGCTCAGTAGGCAATGCAATGTTGAATAAAGATGCTCAAGACCCTCAAGAATGGAGAGAGAGCTATGTGGAGTCTGGGGACCAGGCACAGCAAGTGCAAAGAACCTGAAGCAGGAGCGTTCTTGCTTTGTTCAAGGAAAGCAAGGAGGCCAGTGAGGTTGAAAAGAGAATAAGGTCAGAGTGACAACAGGGGAGAGAGAATGGCTGGGGTGTGGGGCCACGGGGAGGTGGGGCCTGTGATTTCTATTGGCAAGGTGGGAAGCTGCTGGAGGGGTTTAAGCTGATAATTGATGTCACATATCTTATATTTTCATAGTACCCATGTGATTGCTCCCAATGAATAGACAGAAGGGAGTGAGGGTAGCTAACAAGCAGATTCAGCTAGAAGAAATAATGCCTTTGACTAAGGTGTTGGAGAAGTGGTTGGATTCTAAATAATTTTTCAAGGTGGAGCTGACAGAATTTGAACGTCATTCCATTTGTTTATACAGAGTTTCCTCATTCTCTTTGACAGCTAGAATATCTCATTATATCATAAGGTTTTAAACTAGTCCCTGAGGACGAACGTTTAGGTTGATACTCTATCTTTTGCTACCACAAAACAGACAAATACAAAGAGCATATGGACATCCACAGATCCTCAATAGTCTTTCAAAGTGTGCCTGAGGACAGGGATGGCTGAATGTTAGGATAGTTTACACATGTGTATATAAATGACATGTGTACATGTAACTTTTCACACAAGTGAGTATTTGAAGAATAAATTTCAAGAAGCAGAAACGCTGGGTTCTTGCTTGGATGTTGTATCCATTTTTGCTCCCGCCAGGAGTAGGGATGATTCCCCAAACCTTTGCCAAAGTGTGTTCACAGTTAATGTTGTGATCTTTGCCAATCTATTAAATGGAAATTGGCACATCAGTGTGTTTTAATTTACATTATTCTTATGAGAGAGCTTGAGCTTCCTTTTATATGTTTGAGACCTTTCTGCCAGCCCAGCCAACATGGTGACGCCCCATTTCTATATATAAAACTACAAAAATTAGCCAGGCACGATGGTGGGCACCTGTAGTCCCAGCTACTCAGTAGGCTGACGTGGGAGAATCACTTGAATCTGGGAGGCAGAGGTTTCAGTGAACCGAGATCGCGTCATTGCACTCCAGCCTGGTGACAGAGTGAGACCCCGTCTCAAAAACAAAACAAAACAAAAACTCTTGAATTTCCTTTTTCTGTGGAATATCCGTATCCTTTGCCTATTGAGGTGATGTTGCTTTCTCGGTTCACAGCTCTGTATATTGGGAACATTGTCCCTTTGTAATAAAAGTAGCATTTTTAGCAGTCTGTTTTTGTCTTTTGATATTTAGTGGGTTTGTATTTTTGCCATGCTAAAAATTTAATTTTCATTAGTTGAATTTATTCCTTAAAAGCTCCTGGATTTGGGATAGTATTTTTTTAAAGGGCTTGGAAGATTGTTGGAATATTCTCACATCTTCCTGACATTTCAATGACGCTCATAAGCATTGACAACACCACGATTGCTTCCATCATGCGAATATTTTATGGGCTTAGCATTTCCATGCAAAGCTTTCATCCATTTGGAATGTATTCATCTTAGTGTAAGGCATGAAGTACAAGTCTAACCTTACAGTTTTGTCCAAGTACCTGTTGGTAAATAATCCACCCTTTCAGGATTCGAGACACCACTTTTATTATATTCTGAGTTCCTGTGTGTGTTTGGATCTGTCTCTCAGCCTTGTGTCCCATTCCATTGATTTGTGTGTGCACACATACTCATTGTGGTTTTCTGATATGTTCCAGTATCTGGGAGGAAGTGTAGGTTATTATGATGTGTTTCACTTTATTCAGCAACAGTCGTGCTTCTCCGAATCCCAAAATGCCTGTTAAAGGATCACTGAAATGGGATGGTCTGTTAGAAGAAAATTCATTTGATCCTTCAAAAATCTGTTTGCTTCTCCCACAAGCTCGAAAGAACAAGAGTACAGAAATGGACTATCAAATGAAAAGGGAAAAAAATGGAATCCCTCCGGTTTAACTGAAAGCAAAGAATCTACAACAAAAGACAGAGATGAATTCATGATGTTGCTGTCTAAAGTTGAGAAATTATCAGAAGAAATTATGGAGATAATGCAAAATGTAAGTAGTATGCAGGCTTTGGAGGGCAGGAGAGAGCTTGAAAATCTCACTGGAATCTCCTGTGGATCACATTTCTTAAAAAGAGAAATGCGTAAAACCAAAGAACTAATGACAAAAGTAACTAAAGAAAAACTGTTTCAAAAGAGTTGAGGACTTCCTCACAGAGGATCGTGTCATCGTGACAGCTGTAAATTCCTTAAAGCCGTTTTAAACTGGGGCATTTGGAAGGAATGCACTCACCAGAAGCATTAACTTCTGCATCTGCCTGATCATATTCAAAGGAATAGAGAAATATTTGTAATTAATCTGCCCAGTAAATACCAGCTTGTAGCAGTCAGCAGGTGCACGTCTAGATAAAATTTCTTACAGCAACTTTCTACACACAAGTAGATCATCTCAATGTAAATAATACATTTCTTTTTGAGTCTTTAGGCCAACAGGGAGAGGAGGATCTTGACTTATATTCTGTATCACATACATTTCTGTGGAGTTTTTAGCACTTGTGTGTACACTTAATAAAGCATGTATAAAAATGGCACCCTTGGTAGAGCTATGTATTTTTCTGAAATACAGATTAAATATAATGGTGAGTAGAATTAAGTACCAGTTTTCCCATTTAAAGCCTCAGCTGCTTATTAATTTATAGATTCTTAAAAAATTGTTTTTAATATATCTAGTCTGTTGTGTAGCCACTATCTCAGAAGTGAATTTTTATTTTTCTACGCTTGGAGAGAAAAAAACATTTAAGGTTTTAAAATGTCAGTACCATTTATAAAATATTAGAATGTATTTTTCAGTACAAATGTTTTAACTATGAGGTTTTTTGAGCTAAACCACACAGAGTACTAAATTTAAGAATAAAACCTTTATTGAGGGAGGGCAATATGTGTTCCTTTCTAAACTATTTTGAAATATTAAGTTTTAGTTATTATGTGGCGGGGGAAAAAAAAGAAATGGACGAGGAAGCCAGGAATGGACTACATAGCGAGTATCGAGAAAAGACAGTTTGGGTCTGGTTTTAGCCGTGT